GCTCATCTTAACCTGAGAGTTTGTTCAACATACTTCTTTGGGTTCTTTATTCTGTAGATTTTATAAACGATTATAGAAGAAAGAAAAAGTATTATTTTTTTCTATTATACGTGCAGTCACTTTCTCTTATATATCAATCACGATGATCGATTTTCTTTTTCATTATAGACAAAAGTTTTTCAGAGTTTTTTTTTGCTTCTTCCAGTTAAATTTCAGTGAAAAATAATTTCTTATTAGGTAACCAACACGAACAACAGATGCACTTGGTTCAGCTATAGAAACAGACAAATTTTTTGGTTAGAGAAGTTTTGAAGCATCTGAACTTCAGCTTTAATCTCTAAGTTTCAAAGGACAAAAGTCGACTTCTGATCGATATATTATAGATCATTAACAAAGTCATTTGATTTGAAAAAATGTACATATCATTGATTGTTTTATAACTCGAGTATTTAAAAAAAAACTGTACGTGTTTTTTTCTAGTGAATATAATTAATATTTGTTTAGTGACATGAAGTTTCAGCTCCATTTTTGTGTATAGTTTGGCTACTAAAAAAAATATGAATTATTATGTTTGTTAATAAGCTCGGGATAAAAAATTTTATTAACTCTTGTACCTGCTTGTGAAACAAATCCATCAATCAAATCTACGCTTTGAATAGTAAACTAAGTGATATTCATGCAAGTAGTTCTCGAGCAACTTTAATTCTCCAATACGTGTACATTCGATTTTTTGCAGAAATAAAAAAAACGTTCTATATACTTGACATCTTTCTTTTAGATTATCCTCTTTTTTGGTTTGATTGGACAATATGCGCCGTGAAGAGAATATAGCTTATATATCATCGAATCGTCCTTCATCATTGAATATTGTGCCGAAAAATCGTTCATATAATGATGAGCAAATGCGTGGTGCTCTCATTTTCTCTGATGCAAATTCACAACGTCAAATAACAGTCTCAGGTGTGCATATTTTCTTTATTTCACTATGTTTGCATACATAATTTTATATTCAGGTATGGGAGAATTTTCACTACCACCAGATCGTGTTAAACTAATACTTATTATTTCAAGTACAAAATCCAATGTTGAAGAAGCAAAAATTAGCGTACAAAGAAGATTACGATATGTTGAACAAACATTGAGAAACTTTGGTGTTAAGGTGAGT